CCTGATATTAGTTAATGAGCTGCGAGTTAATTTGAACTAACAATGAACCACTTAATTTACAATAACTTACACAAAATATGAATACTGTAATAAATGACTTGGTAACTGTTTATTCAGGTTAATAAATGCATTAACCAGTTGTATTGTTACCAAAATTTCTAATAAGAATCATAATTTAGAAATAAAATGACTTTTTAAAATTTAAAAATTACATTTATGCAGAATAACTAATGATTTAATTTGCTGTGATTTAAATCAAAACTTTGGGAAATAATCTTGATTTTTAAAGTTTAAAATCCAAAAAAAAAAAAAAGCTCTAAATGACCTTGGCTTTAAATTTCAAATAAATGTCATTACAGAATAAAATAAAAATGTCATTTTACCAAATGTGTATCTCTAAAATCTGCAATATCTCTGTAAAATTGAGCTCAAGTAACTAATTAACATTAGCTATTAATATTTGTCACCAACCTGAATGAGTGTTGCCTTTTTTGATTCTATGATTTATTTGTTTTTGATTTTTTATTATTCATTCATTTTCCTTCAGCTTATAGTCCCTTTATTCATCAGGGGAATGAACCTCCAACTTATCCAGCATGTTTAACACAGTGGATGCCCTTCCAGTTGCAACCCAGTAAAGGGGAACACCCATACACAATTATTCACACACATACACTACGGCCAATTTAGTTTATTCAATTCACCAATACTTTACCACAGGGGTGTCAAACTCAATTCCTGGAGGGCCGAAGCCCTGCACAGTTTAGTTCCAACCCTGCTCCAACACACTTACCTGTAGGTTTCAAACAAGCCTGAAGGACTCAATTAGTTTGATCAGGTGTGTTTGATTAGGGTTGGAGCTAAACTGTGCAGAGCTGCGACCCGTTTGGAACTGAGTTTGACACCTGTGCTTTACCACATGTCTGTGGGCTGTGGGGGAAACCAGAGCACCCAGAGGAAACCCATGTCAACACGGGGAGAACATGCAAACTCCACACAGAAATGCCAACTGGCCCAACCAGAACTCGAACCAGCGACCTTCTTGTTAAAAGGTGACAGTCCTAACCACTAAGCCACCCTATATATAAAAGATAAAAATAGATCTTCATATAATTTCTTTTAATATATATAAATCTATACACACGTCTGCCTCAAATCACAGTCCAAATTTTGATTGTCTTCTCAAGCCTGTTAGACCCTACTGTATATGATTGTCTTATGCAATATAATGCTTAAAATTGCTGATGTTAAAATGCTTAATCTTTTCTTTTAATATATATATATATATATATATATATATATATATATATATATATATATATATATATATATATATATATATATATATGTAATAGCACAGCTGATATAATGATATGTTGATGTAATATATACACTACCTGACAAAAAGTTGTCGATCCCAGTTGTAAGAGAAACAAATAACTTGACGAGAGATCTGCAGAGTGGATGCCAGCATCATCAGCCTGGCCTGAGGTATCAAGACATTTGTGCTGCCCATTACATTACAAACCACAGGAGAGGGCAAATTCTTAGGCGCTCCTTCTCATACTTCAGCCTCCACGTCAAAGTTCCTGAAAGCAAAGAAGGTCAAGCTGCTCCAGGATTGGCCAGCTCAGTCACCAGAAATGAACATTATTAAGCATGTCTGGGGTAAGATGGAAGAGGAGGCATTAAAGATGAATCCAAAGAATCTTGATGAACTCTGGGAGTCCTGCAGGAACGCTTTCTTTGCCATTCCAGATGACTTTATTAATAAGTGATTTGAGCACTATAGGGATGTATGGATGCTCATGGGAGTCAGACACAATATTCATTCTGTTTCCACTGCACCATGACTTTATATTCTATACTGGGCATTATTTCTGTTAAGTGACGAGACTTTTGATAAAGCAAAGTCAGACCTCACTGTCCTAATGAAATTATTACAAATTATGGCATAATCATATTTTATATGGGTGAAAAAAGCGTAATCTAGAGCCCTTTGCCTTTCATATAAGCCACTTCTGATATCAAATGATCAACTAGAAGTTATTAGTTGTTCCTAAAATTTGGATAGGCGACAAGACTTTTGTAAGGTAGTGTATCAACCTCAGCTCTTCCTATACACAGTAAAGATGCTGGATTTCACACAATGGATTTGTGTTTGGGCAACATGAAGGAATTAGGTTAACTTATTGAGTTTACAAATTTAAGTTGATTTAACATAAAACAGTTAAGTTTTTCCCCCAAAAAACTCAAGAGCCAGGGCGGACTGGCCATCTGGCAAATGCCAGAGGGGCTGGACCAATTTTTTAATGTGGGCCGGTCATTTATTTTTTTTTAATATGTACTGTTTTTAAGTGCAGACAGCTTTTATCTCTTGCTAGATGTGATATTATGATGATGATAAAAATAATAATAATAAATGTTAAGCATTTGGCCCAATCGGCAACTGCCGCCTGGTTTCAAGATGGGCCGACCCAATCCAAGGTTACCCGGACATAGTCAAAATCTGGCAAGAATGTCATATTATTTCACCATCTTTATACCAAAATAAATAGTGAATGTGCGTGTCCTTGGGTGGGGCTGTGTCGGTGTGGTAATGTGGGCTGGTGTGGCAACAGTGCCAGGGCTGAATTTTTGTCCCAGTACGCCCCTGTCAAGAGCTGTGTTGGTTTCAGCTCATTTTAATTAAGCAGTGTGAACAAACAGTAAACAGATTCTAAGTAATCTAATTGTTTAGGACATTCAGACACTGATTGACTCTTTAAAACATTGTGACAAAAAAAGGCTTAAAAGTTTCAAATTGTCTATCAGGATTCAGAAGCAAAAAGAGTATTCGTAAACCCTGCTCTGTCTGTCCGCAGGCCAGAGGAAGAGATCAGCGAGTCAGACGGGCTTTACCTACCGTTCCGCTCCCTCCTGATCCCATTAGGTGCTCTATGGCTGCCCAGTTAAGCATGGACACAGGCAGGGATAATCCACCCGGACACTTACAAACTCATTCACTGCTCTCTCCATGCCTTTTAGATGTTGGTAACTCTATTATCAGGCCCGTAGCCAGGGGGGATTCGGGTGGTTCGAAAAACCCACCCCTCAGTGACAAATGTCCAGAATTTATCCCCAACATGAGCTCATTTTCCTATTTTGACTGCTATGCCATCATAATAAGTGAAAATAAGGCTGAGCGTAATTCTCTGTTGGCTGTTGTGACATCAGCTAATCAGTTTTGGCCAATGCAAACAAATATTTTTCATGGGTCCAACATCCAGCTGTAGGAAAACATACAATCTGACACAAGAGAGGTCATCTTTCACTACGGTTGTTTTTAAATAGAGGAAACAGTTCACAGGTTTTATTCTAAATCTTGGACCTTATTCTTGAAACAAAAAATTGAGCAATAAAGATTTGAAGGCGACGCAGTGGTGCAGTAGGTAGTGCTGTCGCCTCACAGTGAGAATGTCGCTGGTTTGAGCCTCGGCTGGGTCAGTTGGCGTTTCTGTGTGGAGTTTGCATGTTCTCCCTGCATTCGTGTGGGTTTCCTCCGGGTGCTCTAGTTTCCCCCACAGTCCAAAGGCATGTGGTACAGGTGAATTGGGTAGACTAAATTGTCCGTAGTGTATGAGTGTAAATGAATGTGTGTGGATTTTGGAGATGGGTTGCAGCTGTAAGGGCATCCACTGCGTAAAAATGTGCTTGATAAGTTGGCGGTTCATTCCACTGTGGTGACCCCGGATTAATAAATGGACTAAGCCGAAAAGAAAACAAATGAATGAAAAAGGTGAAGCACTAAAAGCCGCCCATATCAAAATTAATTTGAATACCAGTTCGGCGATTGTTGTTATCAATGAATTTTCTGATGCATTTTTTTTTTTTTTTTTGTAAGAGAGGCTAAATATTTTTATTCAAATGGTCCAATTCTGACTGAGCAAAGTTGAATGTGCTGGCCAGTTTGTTATTTATAATTTGCTTAAATGATAATAGGCTTGTTCTTAATGTGAAACATATATTTTTTGTAATGAAATGTAAAAAAAAATTGCATTTAAAAAATAAGATTTTTTAAATATTTTTTATTCTAAATCTTTAGTAAATATTTTTGGTACATCAAAAAGTGTGGTTATGACAATCTGACAAGCTTATTCAGCTGAAGATAGAGCTTAAAATGTATTTAAATCTCAGAATTAAGTAGAAAATTGTGTGTATAATTGCAATTTTTTGACAAAAAAAAGGAACCACCCCTTTCACTGGGCTGGCTACGGGAGTGATTATGCATTGAGGAGGGAGCAAAAAGAACCATGATACTTTCCATGAATTAATTAAACTGTAAAGAAACTGTAACTTAACACTGTAAAAAAATCTGTTAATTAACAGTTTTCTTATTTTGCGTTTTCCGTTTATTTACGGTTGTGATTTGTATTATGGGATGTTGATCTATGCTCGGTCCACTTTTAACATTGAAAATTCAGCTTTACAGTTTAGCAAAGTGACTTCTCTTGACATTTTAGTAGTTTAAAATAATATAATGTATGAGAAATAACATGCACTACCTGACAAAAGTCTTGTCATTGATCACAGCTGTAAGAGCAACAAATAATAGCTTGACTTCTATTTGATCATTTGGGAAAGTGGCAGAAGGTTGATTTTTCTGAGGAATCATTTGTTGAACTGCATCCCAAACATTACCAATACTGAAGAAGACCCTATTGGAACCTGCATGGACCCAAGATTCACAGAGTAATAAATCAAGTTTGGTGAAGGAAAAATCATGGTTTGAGCTTGCATTCCATATAAGGGTGTGCGAGAGAAGATCGACTTCCGTAGTAGAGACGAAAAATACTATGGAAGTCAATTTTCCTAAAATTCTTCAAAATATCTTCTCTTGTGTTCGACAGAAGAAAGAAACTCAAACAGGTTTAGAACAAGTGGGGGATGAGTTAAGCTGAGAAACGTACAAAAAAAATTAGTAAATCATTTACTAGCAACAATAATCGAAACATTATTTCTTGAATGTATTAGTCCACTTTTAATTGCAATACTTCAGGAATTTACACGTGTTTCTCGGTTTAAACTATATGAATAATCCTGTCAGGAAACTGTATTCCAATACGCATACTGAGAAAAGATTTGATACTGAACACAAATACTGAAAAATAACATCACCTCTACCAGAGAGTGATAAAGGAAAACCAGTATGAAAATATAATTAAACTGCATTATGAATATATTTCTGAGATAAAACTGCATCAAAATTATATACCAATTGAAAGGCAGGTGTGGAGAAACACTTATCAAAGTCACAAAAACGACCCCGATTTAAAAAAAAACAAGCAAACACTGTAAAATAAAGACTTAATATGATTAAACCTATATTTAGTTTTGTTCTTAACTTGAAAGAGTACTTTATAATATTACATTCACCTTCAAAACTATATTTTGAGGTTATAATAGTTACAATATTTTCATATACTAGTTATTCTATGCTATATTAAAATGTGTAAATATGCACCCTATGAATCAATACATAAACAATCTACTCCATTTATAATTAAATAGAACCAAAACTTCATATTAAGGCACATAGACCTGCGACCTAAGACCTCTCTGTGTGCAAAAACGTTTTTTTATTTGTTCCCTTAAAGGAGCTTTAAGCCATTTTTATTTACATTCTATTAGACTATAAGAGCGTTTTCAGACCTGTAGATTGTTTGCTTTGTTACCAGAAAGCTACTTAATATGTTACAAAGTTGCATTTTCCTCTTGGTTCAGTTTGCTTTTACCAGGTGACATTTAAAAAGTGCATCAAAATGTTTCATAAAGTCACATGTGCTTAAAAGATGGAAGCTAGCTCTCTGAAACTCTCACATGGTAACCCACTGAAGCTAAGCAGGGCTGCATCTGGTCAGTACCTGGATGAAAGACCACATGGGAAAGCTAGGTTGCTGCCAGGAGTGGTGTTGGTGAGGCCAGCAGGAGGCGCTCAACCTGCAATCTGTGTGGATCCTAACGCCCCAGTATAGTGAAGGGGACTCTATACTGCTCAGTGAGCAGCACATTTCGAATTTAACAATAATATCAAGGTCCTAACTCTCTGTGGTCCATAAAAATCCCAGAATGTCCTTTAAAAAAAGAGTGAAGGTTATTGCACACTCAATCTGACATTTTCATCCATAATTTTTCGCACATTAAAAAATAAATTTGACATCACTTATGTGTGAATCTAATTGACACACTCCCTCTGAAACAATCGTCCGTGGGGGAAAAAAATGAAATGGGTTTGATTTTTTCCCTTTTAGGAGGTGTTTTGACACTTCAGAGCCACTATACAAGCAAAAAGCTAAATACAGAATGCCGACATTTGAGTTAACTTGATGACAAACAAAGTGCATAATATAAGACAGAATGTGGCGGACAGTTGAGAACCCCAATATGCTGGATTCAGTGACTGGCGCACCTCTCCCCACCACATTCGTTGATTATTTTGGTGCAAATGTAATTTCCATGTTCAAATATTCCTAAAAAAAACTGAACAAAGAAAGAAATGTGTTCAGGTACTCAAACAAACCAGGTGTGAAAACGTTCTAGAGGCTACATTTCAAGTTAACTGGCAAAAAACATTCTTTAAAAAGGTACTTGTCTGAATTACTGCGTATTTTAGTGCACTTGTATGACACGTTCATGGCCAACCCAAATTACTGTCCAGACCAAAGGTTTCTAAGTCAAACTCCAGAACGGAGTCCGGCAGGCCTGAGATGTCCTGGTCCAGCCAGGATGACGGGTCTGAAAAAGAAGGAGAAACAATAATTATTAAGTTAATTAGAGGACAATATTTATTACTATTATTATTATTATTATTATAATTATACCAGGAAAAGTACATTGAGATTAAAAATTTATTTTACAAGAGCACCCTGGCCAAAATTAGTCTACAGTTCACAAAGGTTTAACAAACAAATAACAGATAACATCATTCATCCTTCAAAACACACATACAATGAGAATTAAAAACTATTCAGAGCATCTACATGCCGAAGTATCAAATGAAGTAGAAGAAATAAAGGCTATCTGCTTCATTGTTTGACTGATAAAACAACAAATCACCCATAAACCTATCAGCTACAGTATCATATTTGATTTGCATATTTTTAAGGCTTCTAAATTAAATCAGCTTGATCCAAACGTTTCTGGAAATATTGACATTTTATATTATAAGTAGTATTTAGATTTAAATTGCAAAAATAAGTCCAATGCACTTGTAAAATGTGAAAAAAAAATATTTAAAAGCCTTTTTTTAACAGGCCTATTCCTTAAAACTGTGCCTACACATTTTGGCAAACACTTGCAAGCCATGTCAATAAAGGCTTTTTAATATTTAGACTTGCTGTTTATTCTGATGAATCCCTTACCCAAAGAGCACCGACACCGACACATTAATTGACCTACCCCTAAGCCCGTTTTGTTTGATTTTAGTATTTAGATTTATTTTAAAGATCCTGTGAAGAGCCTTGAAATGTGCATGTTGTATTCAATGTTTGACGTAATCTCAACCGAAAAATGAAGAGAGGGCAGGACATAGTGTAGCTCCTCCCCTTTAAACAAATGCCAATAGTGTTTTGTTATGACAGCTCTGCCAGTGAGAGTGGTTGAGCTCAAGCAGAAAGTCAATGGTTACAGATTTCCAGCTTTCTTTAAAATATTTACCTTTGTGTAGAAACAGAAGAAAGACTCTAATAAAAGTTTTAAACAAGTGAAGGAAGAGTAAATGATGACAATAATTATATTTTAAAGTCATTTCCTCCTGAAATTTGGCTCCAAAACTAAGAGGAACACAGCCATTTAGACAGTCCTCTACAAAACAGTAGATTACTCTGTAAATAGACATTTGTGACCTTTAATTTTGACGCTTCCTTCATCGTTCATGCATTTCCTTTACTAAAACGCATTTACAAAATGTTAATTTTTAGCTGATGTCATCTAAAGGCTCAAAAACAAATTGATTTAGATTAGACTGTTCTCATCAGGCTTTACTGTGTTAAACTGCCAGCTCAAATCTATCTTACCAGATAAGTTGATGTTGAAAGCATTGTGTGTTTCTCCAGCGCTGCAGCTCTGGTTCTGCTGTTCTCTGCTTTCTGCAGCTTCACAGTGAAGCTCTGACCCTCTGCTGCCACCTAGAGGCTCCTTCTGTAGAGCTCCGAGCTGCACAAAGGACAAACACCATCAAAATCAAACACACAAACCATATGGACAAAACAGTGTATAGGTGTGTAATCATAACTGATGATTTATGTAATAAACAACGTACCTGCTGGGAAAGGGCTTTTGCCTGGCTAGGGGTCAGATGTAAGCCGACATACGACTCCTGTAAGGGAAAAGGGGTTTGTAATCGTCAAGTATAGAACCTAGAATATGACATATTTTTAGTAGTTTCACACTTTTTTGTGATGTATATAATTCCACATGTGTTAATTAATAGTTTTGATGGCTTCAGTGTGAATCTACAATCTTCATAGTGATAAAAATAAAGAAAACTATTTGGATGAGAAGGTGCGTCCAAACTTTTGGTCTGTAATGTATGGTCCCTATAAGAAAGCATAGTAAATAACTGAAAATCCGGTGACCACAATAATCTAACACTTGGGAACGACTGTGGCTGGAGACAAAGTTCACAGAACTATGATCTCTGGACTTCTTTCAAGCGGTGGACTTCTACATTCTGATTGCTTGCTGCCACACCACATCATAGCTCATTATCTTGACTTGATTTCTCTCTTCGACGCCCACACTGGCAACCTCTCCGCTCCTCGCCACTTATCGCTGTCAGCTCCCATTGAAAATGAATGACTTCCGGATACTTTGATGCTCTCGCAGCCTTCTTTGTTAATGCACAGTAATCGTGGATGGCTGCTTCTCAATCAGGGCTGTCCATGCTGACTGACTGACCGACTGGCCGACTGACCGACTGGCCGACTGACCGGCTGACTGACTGACTGACTGACTGACTGACTGGCTGGCTGGCTGGCTGGCTGACTGTCCATGCTAATGAGGAAGACTGTCACTAATGGGTGGGGCTTTCCCTCTTTGATGACATAAGCCCCTTTCACACAGTGATACCGGTAAATATCTGGAAAATTTCCGGAATGAATTTACCGGTAGATTCAAAAAAGTGCTGTTTACACAGGTATAGACGTTACGGAATTTTTCCAGAAAAGACCATTCACACATCACTTCTAAAATACCGGTAAATTCTGACATCATTACCCAGAAATGTCCACTTAACGGCTGCGCTTGTATTTATAAACATTTGATTACAGCACAAACTCTGTGGATGGATCAGTATTGTAAACAACTTCGATGAAAACATAGAGAAACACTTTCACATGTCGGAATGTACCATGGTTTCCACTACTTTCATTCTTCTATGGCGGGACGCCACGCCAAAATTGATCCCGTCACAGCTACATTACAGCTTTTGAATCAAAACATTCAGTAGTTGGGTTTTTTTAATAGCGGGTGATAATCGCACCAAAATGTATTAAAGGTTAAGTGAATTATAACCCTTTAAGGATACATGCTGACTGACGGACTGACTGACTGACTGACTGACTGGCTGACTGACTGGCTGGGTGACTGGCTGGCTGACTGGCTGACTGGCTGACTGACTGGCTGACTGACTGACTGACTGGCTGACTGGCTGACTGGCTGACTGGCTGGCTGACTGACTGACTGACTGACTGACTGACTGACTGGCTGACTGACTGACTGACTGACTGACTGACTGGCTGACTGGCTGGCTGGCTGGCTGACTGACTGACTGACTGACTGACTGACTGACTGACTGACTGACTGACTGACTGACTGGCTGACTGGCTGGCTGACTGGCTGGCTGACTGACTGACTGACTGACTGACTGACTGACTGACTGACTGACTGACTGGCTGGCTGACTGGCTGACTGACTGACTGACTGACTGACTGACTGGCTGGCTGACTGGCTGACTGACTGACTGACTGACTGGCTGACTGGCTGACTGGCTGACTGGCTGACTGGCTGACTGGCTGACTGACTGACTGACTGACTGACTGGCTGACTGACTGGCTGGCTGACTGACTGGCTGGCTGACTGGCTGGCTGACTGACTGACTGACTGGCTGGCTGACTGACTGACTGACTGACTGACTGACTGGCTGACTGACTGACTGACTGACTGACTGACTGGCTGACTGACTGACTGACTGGCTGACTGACTGACTGACTGACTGGCTGGCTGGCTGACTGACTGACTGGCTGGCTGACTGGCTGACTGGCTGGGTGACTGGCTGGCTGACTGGCTGACTGACTGACTGGCTGACTGACTGGCTGGGTGACTGGCTGGCTGACTGGCTGACTGACTGACTGACTGACTGGCTGACTGACTGACTGACTGACTGGCTGGCTGACTGGCTGGCTGGCCGACTGACCGACTGACTGACCGGCCGACTGGCCGACTGACTGACTGACTGGCTGACCGACCGACTGACTGACTGACTGACTGACCGGCTGACCGACTGACCGACTGGCCGACTGGCTGACTGGCCGACTGGCTGACTGACTGACTGGCTGACTGGCTGACCGACTGGCTGACTGACTGACTGGCTGACTGACTGACTGACTGACTGACTGACTGACTGGCTGACTGGCTGGCTGGCTGGCTGGCTGGCTGACTGGCTGACTGGCTGACTGGCTGACTGGCTGACTGGCTGACTGACTGGCTGGCTGACCAACCGACTGGCCGACTGACTGACTGACTGACTGACTGACTTGCTGGCTGGCTGGCTGACTGGCTGACTGACTGACTGACCAACTGGCCGACTGACCGACTGGCCGACTGACTGGCTGACTGACTGACTGACTGACCAACTGGCCGACTGACTGGCCGGCTGGCTGACTGACTGACTGACTGACTGACCAACTGGCCGACTGACCGACTGACTGACTGGCTGACTGACAGGTACGGGATGCGTGAGGCCAGCAAACACGACGTATAGCCGTTTCACTTTACTTCAGGAAGCATTAATGCCACTCAATAGGTCTGTTGGAGACATTCATAAATATTCCTAGCAAATCTAATAAATGTTGAAGACATCCTTGTTACATAAACGCACGAAATCGCTCTTCAGCAGTGTTTATTTGAGAGCGCACAAGAAGATCAGCGCTTGAGCAGCGTATATTTGAGGGGGCGTGCAAGAGGTTTTATGCACGAGCAGAGGAAATCAGAAATCTTGCGCTCACCAGCTGCTTCATGGAAGCTGTGTTTAAACCCCTTATAAAAGTGATTTTGCTTAATAGGTGCCCTTTAAATGTAACTGCATCCTCATAATCCAAACATGTCTCACCTTGTTCAGCTCAAAACCTTTATCCTGTGACCCTGGATTCTGCTCCGTCTCTTTACAGTGAGAGACCGCTGCTGGAGTCTCTGGATTGGTGAGCTCAGACGGTGGTTTTGTGTCATCCTGCGTCTGCATGCAGTATCTGCGCTTCACCTGCGTGTGCTGCAGCTCATGCACCCCTGTGAAATGACTCCAGTTTTGCTCTTGATCAGGACACTGGATCGCTGTGTTTTGATGAAGCTGTTGATTTTGATACTGGTTCTGCTGATGCCACTGATTCTGCTGCTCTTGATGATGATGATGATGCTGGATCTGTGGGTAGAGCGGTGCATGCTGGGTAAACGCTTGCTGTGGTGGATACTGTAAGTGCGGCTCAAATTTAGCATGTGTTTGTGGGTGTTTGTGAACTGGGCTGTGTTTTTGTCTCTGATTGTGTGTTTGCTGATGTTCGTTGTGAATCCACTGCTCCAGCTCTGGGATAGACTGATACTGTGGCTCCGGATGGAAGTACTGGCGCAGTGGCTGATGGGAAAGCGGAGGCGCGGGTCTGATGTGATGAGAGCAGGGATATGCTGGTGGTTTGGTCTCCTTATGGACTTTGCAGGAGTTTAGCAGAGCACCCTGAGGGACACAGTCAGTGCATTAGAAGCTGAATAATGGCAAGCATGCAATAATGAAAGAAATTAAAACAAGAAGGATTGAAGACTGCTAATGAAAGGAATTTAGGACCTTTTAAATGGCGATTAAATAGATTATTTTGACCAACTGGATGTTTAGTTAACAGTAAAATCTGTTATTGTTTAACTAAAACTATTATAATCATTTTCGGTAACTGATTTAAATAATAATACTATAAATAATGATAATAATTGAGTCTAAAGGCCCATGCACACAGAGATGTTTTTTGCTAGCGTTTTCCGTCGATGTTTAACGCCTCGTGACTAAATAACAGGCGTCAATTTGATCGTGCACACCAACGCACAAAACGGCAGGCGCAAAAGCATCATTTTTAAAAATAAACGCCTCATGCTCATTTTTTTATTTTGACACGCCACATTAAAACCTTCTCCACCAATCAGATCGGCACTTTTGTTTACGTGCACGGAGCTGCTGAAGTTACAGTAAACAGCACTTGAAGGCGCTCAAGCGCTAAACTGTCAATGCGAGCGCACATTGAAGAAGATGCCCATAGGCGATTTGAACGTGGAGCTGCTTATTGCACTGGTGAACTATCATTTCATCATCGCATCATCGTAACTTTAACAACAAGCATCTGAACTTCCTCTCCTCCTCTTCTTCTGTGTTATAAGCGGGTGTCAGAAGCTTAAAGTTGTGTAGCGCCATCTAACGTCAAAAGAGTGATTTTGCATACTCTTCAGCTTGACCCCCGTGAAAAGCGCTTGGGTTTGAGTACTGAAAAACGTCTCGTAAAACGCTGACGAAAAGCGTCCCGGTGTGTAGGAGCCTTAAAGGCCCGTTCACACCGAGACGTTTTTTGCTCGCTTTTTATGTCGACGTTCAACACCTAGTGACTTAACAAAGAGCGTCAATGTGATCGTGCACACCAACGTGCAAAACGGCAGGTGCAAAAGCGTCATTTAAAAAAAAAAAGCGTCATTTCTTTTTTTTTTGGTTTGTTTTGACGCCCCGCGTCAAAACAACCATCCATGCTAGTTCAAATCGTCAGTAAGTTTAACAACAAGCGTGTTAACTTTCTCTCTTCTTCTCTGTGTTACAAGCAAATCTCAGAAGCTTAAAGTTGTGTAGCCCCATCTAACATCAAGGAGTGATTTTGCATACTCTTCAGCTCGACGCCAGAGGAAATCGCTTGAGTTTGAATCCGGAAAAACTTCTCGTAAACGTCTCATAAAACGCTGACAGCAAGAAGGTCGCTGGTTCGAGCCTCGGTTGGGTCAGTTGGCATTTCTGCGTGGAGTTTGCATGTTTTTCCTGCATTCGCGTGGATTTCCTCCAGGTGCTCCGGTTTCCCCCATTGTCCATAGTGTATGTGTGTGTGAATGAGTGTTTGTGGATGTTTCCCAGAGATGGGTTGCAAGAAAAGAAAAGAAGCCGAAAAGGCAATAATGCTGACTTAAACTGTATAAATATAAGATTAATAATATAAACTAAAATATAATCATAAGATTAATAAAACACATATAAAATAAATCATAAGATTAATAATATAAAACAATATATTAATTCAATGAATATTGAATATACTGCTTTGTTTAATTTGTGCATCATTGACTATTAACTAAAATTAATTAAACAAATAGTAATAATCAAAAAAAGAAATACTGAAATCAGATTATATTTTTAAGAAATACAGAAAATCTGAAATATTGCCATGGCAAATATCTGAAGTGAAACAATATAATAAATAGAAATATAAATGAATTGAAATAGAATGAAATACACCCATTAAAAATGCTAAAAACTAAGCATCACTAATGCAGTGATAAACTCTTGTAAGCCCAAACATCTTTCACTTGTTCCAAACCAATTTGACTTTCTTTCTTCTGTTGAACACAAAAGAAGATATTGTGAAGAATGCTGGAAACCTGTAACCATTGACTTCTATAGTAATTTGTTCCAACAACCAGCATTCTTCACAATATCTTCTTTTGTGTTTAACAGAAGAAGAAAAAAACTTGTAAAGGTTTAAAACCTCATGAGAGAAAAATAAACAATGAGCTAATTTTAATTTTTGGGCAAACTGTCACTTTAAGACGTGCATGATTATCAGTCTGACTATCATTAATGCTCTTACCTGTGCTATAGAAGGCAGAGTTGGAGACGCTGTGGGTGAAAACTGTTTGGGATGCTGCCAGCGGGACTCTCCTCCACTTGGCACGATGAGCGGGCTGAGCTGGGCTCTCTTCCGGGACGTCCCGCCAGCGACACGAGGAGACCCAGAGACAGAGGAGGAGGAGCAGGACCCGGATCCTCCGATTCCACTGCTGATGCTGCAGCGGCTTGCGGACGACTGGACGGACTGGTTGCTTAGTGAGGAGCTGCTGAGCGAGGAGCGCAGGGACTGGTTGCTGAGCGAGGACTGCAGGGACGAGTTGCTGAGGGACAGACGGGACGACACGGAGCTCAGGGAACTGGGCAGGGAGAGGCTGCTGAGACAGCTCTGGATGCTGGGATTGCTGAGCGAAGAAGACTGGAGCAGAGGGTTGCTTAAAGACGCCTGAAGGGGTGAAGACAGACCTGTACACAGCAAGCGGTGGAGAAACTTCAGTGTTTTGTTACATCTTTTCAATGCTTTACAATAAAATACAATTATACGAGTCCAGAGCAGTGCTTTCTATCACCATTTCATGATAATATATTTATATACAATATACAAATAATAAAAATAAAAGAATAAATATTACATCTATTAAAAAAGGCATTTTATGACAGTCAAAGTTTCGGTTAACACTTAAGAATAGTATAAAGCTGGGATTGCTGAGTGAAGAATGCAGCAGAGAGTAGCGTATAAGATAGATTTCCACACAGCAAGCGGTGGAGAAACTTCAGTGTTTTTTGTTTACTTGCATCAATATTTTTCCAGTGCTTTATTTTTGGATTATTCATTACATTTTTTCAATGTAACCTCAATTTTTAAAGTGCATATAATGTAGACACACACATTTATTTATTTATTTAATTATATTTTTAAAAAATCAAAGTTGGGCTAATAATTCTGACTTCAACTGTGAGTGTATATATATATATATATATAGTTAAAGTCAGAATTATTAGCCCCCCCCACCCCCCTTCCCCCCCCCCCCCCCCCCCCGTTTAGTTTCTTTTTCATTTCTTTTTAAAATATTTCTAAAATGATAATTAACAGAGTAAGAAAATTATCACAGTATGTCTGATAATATTTTTTCTTCTGAAGAAAGTCTTATTTGTTTTATTTCGACTAGAATAAGAGCAGTTTTTAATTTTTTAAAAACATTTTCAGGTCTATATTATTAGCCCCTTTAAGATATTTATTTTCGATAGTCTACAGAACAAATCATTGTTATACAATAACTTGACTAATTACTCTTACCTGCCTAATTAACCTAGTTAAGCCTTTAAATGTCACTTTAAGATGTATAGAAGTGTCTTGAAAAATACCTAGTCAAATATTATATACTATTATTCACTATTTATTTAAACAAATATTAGTTTATAGTAATGTATTAGTATTTTTTACTAATTTACTTGTTTTGTTTTTGTATTTCTATTTACTTTTTTTTATTAAAGAAGTATTTTAAAAAGGAAATAACATTAAAAATGCATCCAAAAAATTTAACTGAACAACTAAATATGTAAAATACATATTAAATGTATAAATAAAAAAACGTAGCTGATGACTGTCAAAGTTAACACTTTGTTAAAAAAAAATAGACCCTTTGCATTTTCATTTGTAATATTTGCTTTATATTATTTATAAGTACGAAAACAAAAACATCAAGATTTAACTTGACAAACAACAAGACTTTAACTCTCTCTAAAAGACTCTCAATCCATAGAGATTCTTAATGCAAAGCAAATATTGTGCAAACAATATTTACACGTTTATTTTTTACAATTAATATTTACATGTTATACAGTATGAATTCATAAAAAAATATATACAAATTTCAAAGAGTCCAAACCTCTCTGCATTAATGTAATTGAAACAACGGCAGCTCCTGAAACACACCTGGTAAGCTGAAGTCTGCCATGATGTCAGGGTGTGTAGAAGTGCTGTTCAAAAGATTTGTTCCACTCTGAGGCTCAGACTCCAGTCCGCCAGGCAGTGGTGAAGGCAGATGAAGGCTGGAGAGATCCGGAAGAGACCCGCTCGTACTGAGAGCTGACGGGACGGGGAGAGAAGAGACCTGCTGATCAGGTGATGGGAAACTGTGAGAGAAACAGCAAAACACAGACTCATTATAGAAGAAAAACTAACAGCCTAAAGGTGCAGTATGTAGGATAGCGGTCCAAATTCAAAATTTTGGAGGGTTTTTTTCACCCAGCCACTCAGACGACGACTCCACACACACCTAAAGATCGAGCCTTACACTGTAAGCTCTGCTGATGTTTATGATAATTAGTGCTGTCAAAAAAAAATTGTAATAACAAGATCCAAGATTAAAGTTTGTATTTACATAATATATACATGTGAACTGTGTATATATGTATAATTAAATACACACCCATACCATACATAAAATACAAAAATATACAAAAGAAACATATTTACATACATATTTATGTATATAATTTGTTTTATATGTTTTTTATTTGTTTTAAATATTTATACATATTGATATGCATGACTATATTGCATAATTTATTTGTTTATGGGCAGCACGGTGGTGTAGTGGGTAGCACAATCACCTCACAGCAAGAAGGTCGCTGGGTCAGTTGGTGTTTCTGTGTGGAGTTTGCATGTTCTCCCCGTGTTTGTGTGTATTTCCTCCGGGTGCTCCGGTTTCCCCCACAAGTCCAAAGACATGCTCTATAGGTGAATTGGGTAAGCTAAATTGGGTATCCGCTGCGTAAAACATATGCTGGATAAGTTGGCGGTTCATTCCCTGATTAATAAAGGGACTAAGCCGAAAAGAAAATGAATGAATGATATTTGTTTATATTTGTAAGCACAAAATATTTACAGAACACACTAATATTAACTTTTATTTTGGATTTACTTTGACAGCACTAATAATAATTGAATTGTTTGCAAAATAAAAACCACCTTATGTGCATTTTTTTATAACTACAATCTGTGTCTTATTTCAAAGGTTGCTTCTGTCCTCAGGAGATCACATTTTCGGCTGTGCTTGCATACATTAAGGCACCAAGACAAACCGGGGTGCCAAAATATAATTGGGTAAACTGGCAGTGGGCGGAGTTACTCAGACCAAAACAAAGACAGACATTCGTCACAGAAAACACACACTTTTCAAAGGAGAATATCTGACTTTAGAATTGTTTTTCAGATAAACAAGTATGTTCCCCTTGCTTGTTTCTTAAATATCCCCAAACAAATTATGGTATTTTTATGATTTAGAAAGTGAGAGTCAAAAACTAACATACAGAACTTTTAATGATGAGGACTGAATGAAACTTACTGAACAACGGGTGTTTCACATCCTGATGAGGCCATGGGGGATAACTGCAAGCAAAGATTATTATGAAATAATAATTTTATTAAAAATTTAAGAACATTATAAGCTTTAATTTATGAAACTGTATATCATCCTAATGTCAACAAGGCAGAAGGCAAACCTTCTTCAGTTTAGGAGACTGTGTTTCCTCCTGGATATTTTCTTCAATCAGTGGAGCAGGAAGTGCAAACCCTAAAACAGGTGTAATTGCTTTATTAATGTTGTCTTACAAAAAAAAAACACAGTAAAACAGAAATATCAATAATAAATATTTTTGCAATTTTAAATAAATTAATTTCCACAGTATTCTACAATATTGCAGTCAGACTCTCTAAAATCTTGATGGAAACGCACCCGATTCAAATATGTTTTGCAAACTCCGATAAGATTCACTTTACGTTAGGATAGAAAAAAGAAATAAACCGTTAAACTCACCACAGTGTCTGGTTTGGGTGTTTAGGGTTTGTGTAGATTTCAGGTGGCCGTGTAGTTGAGTGTTTCGCACACTGGTGTGGAGGGCCGAGTCCGAATTGGTTCTGAGAAAAATGAACAAGAGGTGTAAACATTGTGATCTGGGATTGTTCTAGAGGGTGAATGCTCATTCATTTTCCTTTGTCCCTTTATTCTTCAAGGGGTCGCCACAGCGGAATGAACCGCCAACTTATCCAGCATATGTTTTACACAGCGGATACCCTTCCAGCTGCAACCCAGTACTGGGCAACACAATGATTATATATAATAGAATATAATAAAAAAGACCAGCTGGTGCCAAATAGCTCATATTCTTTCTTGAAGCCTATTCGTGGATTGTGTTCAATTTATTAATTATTGTATCGCTTTTAATGTTTTAACTCCCATAAAATTATGATGTCTCATTGTTTAGGCTGCTGCTATATTTGCACATGGATACAGAAAATTATGGATAGACCCACTCATACGCAAGCTTTAGTGATAGTCAGTTTTTAAAAGACATGGGATTTTTGTGCAGCATGTTTCCTTTCAGATAAAACTAACTATTAATTTTATTTTAAAATACTATAACTGTATTAATGCCTCTCTCACTTGAAATGATTCGTGGTCAAACTTCGGGAGGTGGAAGTATTATGGTTTTAACAACATTAAAACTTTCTTTTCACAAAAGTGTTCAGCAAAGCAAAATGCTTGCATGTAACGTCAAAATAAAGGTTGTTTCACTTCAAACATGCTAACAAAAAATAAATATATAACCTATAACCGGCCCTGTTGTCTTAATGAGGAAAATATGTCTTAACAAAATCCTGTTTTTACAAGAAAAGGCCTTTTATAACAATAGAAGTGGAAAAAAAAATAAAAGCCTATAGTAGGCTAGCCTGTGTGTGGCAGCATTGCGTCACTGTGAATGAGTCGGGTCTGTCTTGTTTCAGAATATAAAAACAAGCCTTTATTTGTTTTTGTTTTCTGGTGATTTTATTTTTGTTATTCGAAAAATTTTTTTTAAATCAAATCATTTTTGAATTTAGGTTTTTCGTTTTTCACCATGAAAATAAAAAATGTTTCAAATTTCAATATTTGCTTTTGAATTTTAAAACAAAAATAAAAAAACGGCTCATTTTTCTTTTTTTTTTTATTAATGTCTGTTTCTAAAATTAAAATCCAATGACCAAAAGATACACTGACCAGCCGGGACTCGAACCAGCGACATTCTTGCTGTGAGGCAACAGTGCTAACCATTGAGTCACCGTGTCTCCCCTGAATATGATTTTAAGCATTTTAATTTAGTTTTTATCTCCTATTTTCTTATTGTGCAATGATTCGTTTAATCTTCTTTATGTAAAGCACTTTGAATTACCATCAGCTATGAAGAGTGCTATATACAGTAAATAAACTTCCCTTGCCAATTAGAGAGATCAATGAGAGTCACAAAAATGATCACATATGCACAAGTTCTTATCTTGATCTAAACACTGAAGAGTTGTGTTTACCTGTTTAGAGCAGTAAGAGGAAGACGGACCATCTGGCTCTTCTCAGTGGCAGAGCAACTGGACCAGTTTCTGGAGGCACACAAGCAGCCTTTAATTAACGTACTGGCAGGAACAAAAGCTCAGGATGTTTATCTATCCATCTAAGGGCAACTTCGGTGTGTAAAATTAAAACTATGTGAATCTTTTATCACCTGAATGTCATGAATATGGCAGATTCGAGCACAGTTTATTTATAGTCTTACCTTCTCCAGGCTGGAGCTCGAGGAGGAGAGAGGTGTGAAGAGAGATACGGAGCGCTATCAAACTATAAACGTTCAGTTAAGGCTTCATTTGAAAAAAGAAATCCAGAAATCCTTTCAACCAATCCAGTTTATACTAAATCTGCAATTGTTAAATTTACTGAATATTTAATAAATAATTTTACAAAATATAAACATATTTTTCAATATTTTTCAGTAAGAATTTTATTAATTCCTAATATTCAACAAGGCTGCATTTATTTGATCATTCATTCATTCATTTTCCTTTGGCTTAGTCAATTTATTCATCAGGAGTCGTCACAGTGGAATGAACCACCAACTTATCCAGCATATGTTTACACAGCGGATGCCCTTCCAGCTGAAACCCATCACTGGGAAACACCCATACGCTCTAATTCACACACATGCACTACAGACAATTTAGCTTACCCAATTCACCTATAGCGCATGTCTTTGGACTGTGGGGGAAACCAGAACACCCGGAGGAAACCCATGCAAACTTCATACAGAATTGCCAACTGGCCCACCCGAGACTCAAACCTGCAACCTTCTTGCTGTGAGGCGACAGTGCTAACCACTGAGCCACCGTGCCGCCCTTATTTTACCATTAATACTGTAAATGTGCAGTAATATTGTGAAATGACGGTTTCTGTGATGTTTTTACAATTTTTTAAACAGAGGATACATGTCTCCTGTAAGGCCTGCTGAGAGGACTGGGCTGGACATCTCTGTATTCCTCATCGGCCTCCAGAAGCTGCTGG